GGCACACACACACACACACACACACACACACACACACACACACACACACACACAGAGACCGTTTTTCTGTGGCGGCGTGTGGAATGCCTACACACATACACACACACACACACACACACACACACAGAGACCGTTTTTCTGTGGCGGCGTGTGGAATGCCTACATGCCTACCACTTTGAATTCGAATTCCTGCTGCCACTGCTGCAAGGGCATCATAGAAAGATGTGTGCCCCTGGTGAGGGCATTTCAAGGACCGACCGACGAAACGCCAGTAGCGGTCCAGTAAGGCCATATCGGAAAGTTACGCCCCATGCTGACAGGGGCCTGCGGAAGATTTCAGAGGCCCGAGGGGCACCATCGGCCTTCACAGGGGCACGCCGCAAATAAACGCAAACTTTGGGGGCATTTAGGAGATGTTTCCTTCTTCAATATGTTTTGTCTTTTTGAATTTGTTTGTCGAGTAATGCGGCGAGGCCCCGATGTTAGTGGCTCGATACCAGATAGCTCCTTTTTTGGACCGAATCTGGTCGTCAGTGCTCATATACATCCAGGAGGACGCTTCATGCTGTCGTTCGCGATACGTTCGACATCTTATGCCGAGGATTGCTCACCCGGTGTGAACAAAGGGTGCTCACCTCGCCGACGGCGCGACATTCGGCTGAGAGGACGCAACGGAGAGCGTTCCCGCTCTGTGCTTTCGGACATCTACAGACCATCCACGTTTGGCCGGGGCGGGAGGTGGGCTACTCTAGGTAGGGCTATAGCTGGCGCAGGTCATTCCGGCTGGTAAGCCTGCAGCAGCACCTATTCCTATATATGTACCTCGTTTCCACGGTACCAGAATTGTGCCGTCTTGTATGCCTGACGTTCCCCCTGACTGGTTACCATTCGAGGAGGGAAGAAGGGAGGAGGTCGGCAGTGAGTGAAGACCGAACTGTAGCGGTGTGAAAGCGAGGTGCAAGATATGGCGCCCACTAAACGCAAAGCTGGCGGATCGTCCGCAGGGGCGAGGACGCGAGCGACTCGGAAAAAGATGGTCTCTGGAGATGACGACAAGGTCAGCAACGTGGACGTAACTGGGGAGGCGGGAGAAACGTTCTCCCAGAGTTCAGGAGGAGGAGGAGGAGGTGGTGGCGGCGGTGCTCCCGCAGCTAGTAGGAGGATTGTTATTGAGGCGTGCAAGTCGTGAGGCGCGTTCAAGACCAGGGCCAGCAAGCTGGAGAGTCTCCTCCGTGCTGCCGTCCCCGGCTTGAAGACGAGTATTAACCCCGAGAAGCCTCGCAAGGGCTGCTTCGAGGTCAGAGGCGACGATGGAAAGGTTTATGTCTCTCTCTTGAGCTTGCCGAGACCATTTGCCAAACTGAAGGCCCTGGATTTGGAGGCTCTCTCTCAGGAGATTGCTGATGGCCTGAAGAACTTGAAGGGGTCAGTTTTAGAGAAGGAAACCAAGGAGTCGGGCGGCGACGATACGGACAAGGAAAATGAGGACGAGTTTGAAGAGACGGCCAAGGACGGCGGATCAGCTGCGTCCGAGGACGGATCGAATGTGTCTGAAGCGGTGAAAGCGTCGTCGGGAAAGGTAAAGAAGATCAAGCATGATGAAGTTACGGAGGAAAAGGCAGGTGAAATGGTCCAGATGATAAACGAGGAGGAGAATGGCAAGAAAGGTACCACCATGGGAACCAGGAACAGCAACAAGAGCGGTCAATCATTCAAACAAGCTCCATCACGAACAGGAATGCCTGCGAGAGTTCCGTCAAGGAAGTCGACTAGGAGAGCGAAAGGGGACGTCACGCCTGAAGCCACGGTTGACGAGAGCGGCGATGGAACCAAGTCTAGTTTGATTTAGCAAAACCCCAGCAATACCTCTCGGTAAAAACGGGATTTGAACGGGCGACTTCTTTTTTTTTTTTTTTCCCCGAAACGGGCGACTTCTGCCTTGACGGTTCCTGCTGCTTTTAGGGGGGATGTCCCTGTTGATGAGAGCGGCGTTGGAACCATGTCATCTTTCTTCTTGGTGGTTGAGTATATACTATATAATGATTTACCGGCGCATTGTAGCGCATGCTGCCAACGCGGCATGAGACAAAAGTGGGTATGGGAGCGTTTCTGTTGCTTGTGATAACAGCTCGTTTGCCTGGTTATCTTAAGCGTAAACGCAGGGAGAGAGGGGGTATACGTAGAAAACTACAGTGATGTTGCGGAGGATCTTCCTCGGACAGGTGCCCTTTATTTCGGTGGGGTTTATGTGGGGGTTTTAGCGGGACATGGAAATTGACGGATGTTGTTGTTTTGCCGAAACCGGGGGATCGATGTTGTTTCTCCTCGAGATTTGAAGGTGAGGAGAAAGTATGGCAAGACTTAGTGTAGATGAGCTCTGGGTGCGTGGGTGGGTGGATGGATGTGAATGGCTGCGTTTCCTGCTGTGTGAAGCTGAGTAGGGAGTTTGGCTAATGACCGACCACGGACAAACGCGAAGCAGCGATCTGTGGGCGCGAATCGAACGTCTTGTGCGGGCCACGTCGTGTTGTCTCGTGGACGTGTGCACTGATGGCACGCCAAAACAGGCAGACTTACGTCGTTTCTCAAGACGGCCATGTTCTACGCGCTGTAGCAACAGCAGGTTACCTGCCGCCTAATCATCATTCCTTACCCCGTCTATCTTCTCGAAATGCCTGAAAAATCTTCTCGAAACGCCTGAAGAATCTTCTCGAAATGCCTGAAAAATATTCTCGAAGTGCCTGAAAAATCTTCTCGAAAAATGCCTGAAAAGTCTTCTCGGAATGCCTGAAATTGTAGTGAAAACGCCAGTGATTGTATTTTAGTGAATGTGGTTTTTGAGGTGGAGAAGGGAGTATAGATAGGGTAAGGGGATTTTCACATGGTCACGGAGCGTGATCGGAGTGAAGAAGAGGATAGGCCAGTTAAGTGATGGCCTAGTTTTAAGTAAGATAGTGTTGTCAGAGAGGAGGATGGAAATGTAGATTCAATTTTTTGTCCTTTTCTCTTTTTGTTTGTATCGCAGTGGTAGGAGAAAAGCCACAGGAATCGATGTCCACTTCAGCAATCGATGGCCACTTCTAAGTGAAGTGTTTGCAGTCGTAGGAAAAAAGCCACTTCAGGGATCGATGGCCATATCAGGAATCAATGGCTACTTCAGGAATCGATGGCCACTTTTTCAGTGAAGTGTTTTTGGGCAGCATGTAAGGTGCCAAGGTTTGTGGCACTTTTCTCATTTTGCTTCTTTTTGTCTACTCTTGTCTACTACTGTGGGTATCTGAATGGAAGTTCAAGTAACTCTTATTGGATTAGTTGACAGTGCGTGCCGGTTGTCGTGACGTGCGCGAATGGGAGCGACTGTCATTGGATCGGTGCGTGCAGGTTGTCGTGCTGTGCGAAAATGGAATCAGTGCGTGCCTATTGTTGTACTCTGTGCACTCTTGTGGGATGTTGTGCAGTCGATTTTTACTCTGCGTTTTCTGTACAATTGTGTTCTTTTGTCTGATATTGTGTTGTGGAAGTCCGAATGGATCTTATTGGACCAGTCTTAACGGTTTATACCGGTTGCGTGCCTGTTATCGTGCTGTGTGTACTCTTGTGGGACGTTGTGCGGTCATCTTTATTCTGCGTTTTGTGTATTTTTGTGTTCTTTTGATTTTTATGTTGTGGAAGTACGAATGGATCTTATTGGACCAGTCTTAACGGTTTATACCGGTTGTCGTCACGTTCGTGTACTAATGGGAGCGACTCTTACTGGATCAGTGCAGGTTGTCGTGTTGTGCGCGCGAATGGAAGTGGCTCTTATTGGGGATCAGTGCGTGCCGGTTATCGTGCTGTGCACTCTTGTGGAATGTCGTGCAGTCGTCTTTATTTTTCGTCTTCTGTACATTTGTGTTCTTCTGTTCTGAGTTCTATGCGCATGTATGGATGTATTCTGGCCATCTGAATGGAAGATGTGCTGCAAGCAACTCGGGCGTTGCTTGTCAATATCAGTGCAGTCCGTGCCGGTTGCCGTGCTTAAGTACTCTTGTGGGATGTCGAGCAATGGTCTTAATGTAGCGTTTTCTGTATTGTTTTGTGTTCTTCGCTGTGTTCTTCTTCTCGTATTTCGATCTCTGTGAACATGTGTGGATATGCTTTCTTCCGATGTGAATGATGGACATGCTCTGAATCAAACTCATCCACTGCTCGTCTTGATTACTCCTTCACCTGTATGTCTTTGTTTTGGTTGAAGTGGCTGGATTTGTATTATCAAAAGTTAATTACGAGAGGCCGGGGACCTCAACAGTTCTACACGGAGTGCTGGGCCCACTACCCAGTTTCGGCGTGTGGTGGAGAACGGGTCCAGCGTCCCATTTTGTTTCATCCAATCCCAAAAAACTGGAATAGATTCTCATTCCTTGTACATCTTCGGTTTTGAGGAATGTATCGTGTAAGTCGTGCGGCGTTCTTCGTTCTCGTCTTTTCTTCCGTCATTAGTCTGCTTTCGTCTTCTCTTCCGTCCTTAGTCTGCTTCCGTCTTCCGTCATTAGTCTGCTTGCAACGAAGAGGTTTTCTGGACAACTGATCTTTTTGGTTTGTTGTTGTAGCATTTCTACTCATTGTGAGGTTCAGTGGTGTAGTCCCTTGCCTTGTTCTGCCATATCGCTCATTCCTGCCACTCTCGTTGGCCACATGTTCAAGGACAGAATGCCGTACGAAGGGGGAAGCCCGGCACTTGGGGAAGCAACACTACAGTAGACGTGGGAAAGCAGAAATTCACGTTGGGAAGCAACATACGCCTCGGAAGCAAGTAATTGGGGGTGGGAGGGTCATTGTGAGTCAAATAAGGGCGCGAAGGCCACTCTGGCTTATTTTTATTTATTTTATTTATATAATAATAAGGCAACTTGAGTTGGAGAGCCGTGTGATGATGGGCGAGCATCTCGCACACGGTCCGGAGAGCACTTATTAAGCCACCGTCTAGGCTCGACGCTTTCTTCCAGCGCAACACATGACTGACGTAAGGAGCATGTGGGGGAGCAACACGCGACGTGGGGAAGCAAATACGTTACGTGGGGAAGAAACACGAGGTCTGGAAGCAACACGGGATGTGGGAAAGCAAAATGTATTTAGCTCATCTTGCAGCTTTTCTCATTCATCTTTTCTCCATTAATAATAACAAACTCTTTTGTTTGTCTAAATAAGTATACGTTTTTTTTGCTACTTTTTGACCACGGATCAAATACTTGTTTGACCAGGTAAGTCAGGATCAAGGTGAAGCGATTTTTTGGACAAACGAAAATTCAATTGGACAGCCATGAAATGGAATTGGTCGGTTCGATTTTCCTATTTGGTACATTATCAGAACCGATTTCGACAGCCGATATAGGTTGGGTGAAGTGATGAGCATTTTTTTTTTTTTTTCAGATTTAGGTTGGGAGAAATGATGAGCATTTTGGACAAAAAGATTTAACAGTTTGTGGACCTAGGTGAATGTGCGCAGCACACACGCGAGTGACGACGCACGTTTTTCTGTGGGCTGCGCTCGTCAGTCTAAATCGTTCGGTCCTTTGACGTAGGGCACAGTGGGTCTGTCCAAGTTTCTATAGTACCTGTCCACATCGATTCACAAGGTGTCTGATTCTTTTTGTCTTTTCTTTTTTCCTTCTTTTGTGGCCCGATGGACTACGGATCAGATATTAAACTGATCAGAACAGATACTACACTTGATCTTAGCCAAAAAGCCGTGAAAGGTATAAGGTGTCTGATTCTACTCTACCGTTCCAAGAAGCTTCTACAAAAATGTAAAACGTTTTGGCCGACTGCACGCCCGATTCCAATCTACCGGTCCATCCAAGAAGCTTCTACGGAATTCGAAGGGCGTTGCCGCACGGGACACGAAACGAAAAACGAAACGAGTGCATCTTCCTGCAGAAAATGGCCAGGTCCATCGGTTTGCTATAAATGTAAGGAGTGTATTTTGCCACCTTTCGTGGGCAGATGCACTCGTTTCGTTTTCGTTTCGTGTGCCGTGCGGCGAGACCCTAAACCGGTTCGCCGTTTCTCTAACCAAGGCACGCTCACCTAAATTGATAAAAAGAAGAAAATTTAGAAAAACCAATACGCTCTTGTTAATGGCCGGAATCCGGCAGGGCCTGCCCGTTTCGGTTCACCAGATGTCCAAATAGCGGCAGTATGCGTCTAACAGAGTAGTAGTATTAAACTGATCAGAACAGAGACTACACTTTTCTCAGCCAAAAAGCCGAGAAAGATATGGTACTCGATATTTTTCTATATCTATCGTGATGACATTTTTTGGTTCGTAACCGTGATATTGCCTGCAAAGGCTGCAAACGCGGTTCTTCCCATATTACTCGTTTCCATTCCTATATCAGAGGTGACAACTTCGTTGATCATATTAGTCTTGCTGGCGATTTGTGGTTTGTAATCTTGATGGAGGTGTTTTTTGGTTTGCAATCTTTGGTAGAGGCTTTCGGTTTGTGACCGTGTTTGGCTGTCCTGCATCGCTGCCCTGCATGGTTGCCCTGCATTCGTTGTCGAAACTTTCTGGAGATTATCTTTCCTGGGTTGTATCCGGAACTTTAAGGAGTTCATCTTTCGCGGGTTGTATCGACTTGAGCTGTCCTCTCCTAGTTTGCAGCCCGTCAGGGTTGCCTTTTATACCCTACTAGTCAAATTTTCGTCGTTTTGTCATACCGGTCGTCTGTTCGGGTCCAAATACCGGGCGTCTGTTAGGGTCTAAATACTGGGCGTCTGTTGGGGTCCAAATGGCAGTTGGAAGGCCCCAAATGGTAGTTGGAAAGGTGGTGAATTTGCTGGGAGGTGGCAATTCATGGAGAACAGGCCCTTGTTGTGTGTAGCTGCCCGTAGGAGGCTGAGGAGGCCGCGGTCCTTGAGTTCGCAGCCAAAGGCTGCGCCTTACCCGGTTCGCTTTTTTGTCGTCTTGCGTATTTCTTTTTAAGGCAGGTTTTCGGCGTTTAAGCGGGGTTTAGATGGCGTCGACAGGTGCTTCTGAAGGGTGCGGTCGCAAACGTAAAAAGGACCGGTAGCCCGAGCGGTCGTGTCAGAGCTTAGAGGCTCAGCGACCGGTGGCGGGTTGGGAGGTCGTTCATGTAATGACGGTGGTCGGCGCCTATCGTGTGGTTTCGGTTTCCTTTTTGGGAAGAAGGCCGGGGGACTCTCGATGTGCAAAATGAGACTGGATCCACCATTGGAACATGGAAAGATACATTGCGATCTTTTTTGTCTTTTGCGCATCTTTTGGGCATATGGAAAGTGGCGCAGCGAACCAGGGAAAAAAGAAAAAAAGTCCTTAGGGACATCCGTTAAAATTGGAACGATACAGAGAAAGAAGATTAGCATGGCCCCTGCGCAAGGATGACACGCATAAATCGAGAAATGGTCCAAAAA